CTCGGTTGTCGAGTCTTGATGCAGACAGGGAGGAGGTATCAAGCCCACGTGTGAGCTCGCTAATTAGAGTGACCTTGAGTTGGATATCGAATTGAATCTCCAAGTGTTTGTCTAGATCTGTATAAATCATCAGGCATGACTCTAGTGATCCAAACAACAGCATATTGACAGACGTCTCAGAGGTTGTCATCACGACAAACGCTGTACTGCAGATAGACCGTATCAATCCTTCTCAGGTTAGTAAACAAACATAACAGCATATGAATAGGCATCATACCATCGCCCCTTCTTATATCCCACATTCTTCAGTCGCCCTCTCTCCACAAACCCGCGTTGTTCATACCACTTTCGTAAACCCTCGCCATTCTCTTTCCCGGTAGTGTCAACCGACATACAGGCGATAATACTATGCACTCGCCCCTCGTCCTCTGGAATGAACTGGACATGTGTTTCGTAGTCCTGGTGTTCGCGCGCACGGTGCCAAACCCCTGGTTCCGACTCGACAGACTCCAGGATGGACGAGAGTAGACGGCTCCCCACGCCGTTCGATGTGTATTCTGGGTGAACGTACAGGGATACCTCGACGGTCGGCGCGTATGCCATGCGTGTGCCATTAAACGGGGCGAGATAACCGTAGCCTAGGACTTTGCCGGTTGTGTCGATTGCAACGCGATAGGGTAATGCGCGGGACTGGATGTCTTGGAAAGAGGAGATAAGGGATTCTAGGGGAGGGGGATGTCGGAGGAATGTGGCGACTGACTCGCGCACGTAGAAGCTGTAGATGGCGTGGATTTGAGAGATGTCATCCTGAGTGGCTTCTCTGATTTGGATGGACATTGTCATTGTGCTTTTTGATGTTAGGATGGGAAGGAAACATGATGCTACGGATTAGGCTTGGGCGATGATATGAGTCATTGGCTGCAGGCTGTCAGGCTCGTGTTGTTTCGTTGGCTTAATATTGGTTGTTTACATCAGATACGAGCGAACTTAACTATCAGGAGTCTTGGCTATAGTCCGCTTCTCGTCCTCACTCTGTTTAGTTGGATAGCATTGCGGGAATCGTCTTGGGCTGAATATATACTCGTATACGTCGATTCTCGGCGCGCACATTGTAGGAATCTGCCTATTATACATCCCTTGTTTCTCCCCTATCCAACCCATTAAGCTATCGCACCAAGTCTTCTATTTCTCGCTCCTATCCTGAGAAGCTTCAGCTGTGGATCTCTCGACCGGTGCTTCCGTGGCGGATGTTGTATAGTCTCCCAGGCCAAGACCAGGTGATTTGTAGTCATAGTCGTACCACCAGCCGATGTCATTGATGCCGGAGGCATAGTATTCTTTTCTCATGGGTTTGTTTTTGTTGTTTCTGTTGTTGAGCTGCCTGGTTCCACGGACACCATAGTTGGTAGATGCTTGGGCGTCGTAGGTGCCATATGTACTGTCGCTGTCTATGGGTTCGCTCATGTTGGGTTTAGAAATTCAATACGCTTGAACTAATAGCTTTTTTGGTATGTTTAGTGAGTTCTTGAAAAACATATGGTCGTTGAAGCGCATTTTATGTGTGGCAGTGGCAATAGATAGAATGATATACTCCTGATGTCACCACGGCTCAATGAATCTGTGTTTGACAACATATACTCAGAGTTTATTTTGATTAGAGTTGTCATCTGTTTATTATGATTGTTTCTAAATATGAAACACGACAATGGAGCTAGTAAATGAGTTTAACGAGAGGTTGTTCTATCTGATGTACGTTACGCTAAAGTTACGGCATATGAACGGCGCCCAGAAGATATATATATTCGGGGGCTGATCTATACCATCTTCATTTTACAATCATTTACAGTTTCACTATGGAATATTCAATTATGATAGCTATAGTTTAGTACTTACTGTAGTCTTCAATGCCCAGTCACAGACAATATCCATCAGAAGCTGGCCTGGCTACGGATTGACCACTCTCAATGCCTTGGACTTCGAAGCTTGTGGATAACCAATCTACGGCTCATGCCTCTTCATAACAACCGAAATGGGTAATTATTTGCCAAATTCTAAAATAATACCTGGCCGAGCTGATCAGCCCAAGCCGGCCAAGGAGTGGACAATGTGCTGGGAACGTCCAACGATCGACAGAGCTCATAGGGTCAGAATTTTGAACAATAACAACAATACAATAGCCACAGGATGACGGCTGATTCCTTCCCGCGGCGTATGTATTCTCTAGGACATTTGTTGTATGCAAGGGGGAGAATGTAGGGGCGCTGCTCGCAATAACTTCGTGATTGACAGACTGTTTTCAGTCATTGCCACGGAAACGGGAATATGTGTCATATGTTTGAATTGTATCATAAAAAGATGGATCAGCTTGATGAGACTGTGTCGGTTGTCTCCTGTTTCTGTCTTCGATTCATTCATACACGACAAAATGATATGGTATCAATCAGCTTCCTTGCTGGGAGTGGCTGCGATCGCCCATGCAGCCAAGGTGCACTATTCCCTCGACCTGACATGGGAAACCGGCAGTCCCAATGGTGCCAGCCGGGAGATGATCTTTGTCAATGGTCAGTTTCCCGGTCCCTCGATCATTCTTGACGAGGGCGACGAGGCAATTGTAAGTTTATGCCAGCTATGCAGCATATAGTGATCATACTGATTTGGTAGATTGATGTCACCAACCACTTGCCATTCAACACATCCATTCACTTTCACGGCATCGAGTAGGTACTTTACTGCCAGGGGATGATTCTTCTGACGTGATATAGACAGAAAAATACCCCGTGGGCTGACGGAGTTGCTGGTCTTTCGCAATGGGCCATTCAGCCGGGCCAATCCTACACCTACCAGTGGCGAGCAGATACTTATGGGACTTATTGGTGAGTTTCATTCTCCAAGGTATATTATAAAGCTAACGACTCAGGTACCATGCTCATGACAAGGCTGAAATCATGGACGGACTATACGGACCGATCCATATCAGGTGAGGCCTCAACCCAAGGCAAGACAACACTCATACTAACGAAGAGATAGACCTTCCCCTAACAGAGATTCCCCATTTTCAATAATCTCCAACGATCCGGCCGATATTCAGGCCATGAAAGAAGCCGAGCGCAATGGCAAACTGGTCATGCTGTCAGATTGGGATCATCTGACCGGCAAAGAGTACATGAAAGCATTGGAGGAGACCGGATACGATATCTTGTGCGTCTGACAAGCCTTTTCCACTGGATACAATCTGACCATATCAGCTGCTCTGATAGTGTTCTCATCAACGGTCACGGCTCGGTGTTTTGCCACGACCCCCAGGAAATGACCCAGATGGTCCCGCCGCCAGTAATGGCCATTGTCAATGCCTCGCTGACCGACAAGGGGTGAGTCGATCCATGCATATCGCAGATCGGAGATGATGCTGACGGAAAAGATGTCTACCATTCGTGCCTCCCATCCAAGGCGACTGGGAACATCACCCTGAGAAGCTCCCGCCCGGCCTGAATGACGGCTGCCATCCCAGCACCACACAGGAGACAATCTTCACAGTGGATGCCAGACACCAGTGGGCAAGCTTCCACTTCATCAGTGCAGCCAGTCTCAAGGTGCTGGTCGTTTCCATCGACGAACACCCCATGTATGTGTACGAGGTTGACGGCCGGTACATCGAGCCGCAGCTGGCGCACAGTATGAAGCTGTACAACGGCGAGCGGTACTCGGTCATGGTCAAGCTGGACAAGGAACCGGCCAACTACAAGATGCGCGTGGCCAACGACGGCGGCAACCAAATCGTCTCCGGGTTCGCGACGGTCACCTACGAGGGCGGCCAGACCAGCCAGCGCCCATCGCAGCCGTACATTGACTACGGGAGCCGTAACACCAGCGCCGAGGTCATCCCGCTGGACACCAACAATCTGCCTCCGTACCCGGCCATCAGTCCTGCCTCCGAGCCGGATGACTTCCACATTCTGATGCTCGGCCGCACCAACTCCTCCTGGGAATGGTCGCTGGACGGAGCTGCCTTCCTGCCTAACCACCTCGGTGCATTGCCGCCAGCGATTCTGGACCCTGAAGCCCCCGAGTTGGCGAACGCGCTCAAGATCACCACCCGCAACGATACTTGGGTTGATATTGTCTTCCAGCTGGTTGTCGGCAAAACTACCCCAATCCAGCCTCCTCACCCTCTGCACAAACATTCCAACAAAGGCTTCCTCCTGGGCACAGGCCACGGCAAGTTCAACTGGACATCAATCAAAGAAGCCATGGAGGCTAGCCCGCAGAGTTTCTTGAAGACTCCTATCTACAGAGATACGTTTACTACCTCGCCACAGGGAGAGACGTGGACTGCTATCCGGTACCATGTCGAGAATCCGGGTCCGTTCCTGTTGCACTGCCACATGACAACTCATCTAGCCTCGGGAATGGGTCTGATTCTGATGGACGGAGTGGATGTGTGGCCTGAAGTGCATGCAAACATGATTACTCCTACGTGATGGTCAGGAGCGGACACCATTATGAATCTTCAGTACATAGGATTCATCGCATAACATTTAATATTTGTTTATCTTCTACTTTATTTTTAGAGTCTGGGAATGTAGGTGAATCCAGGATTGACCCTCGGATAGATATACAGTGGGAATATTATTGTCCTTGATCTCATACTAAGCAGAGCATTCCGCATACATCAAGGAATGATCAACAGAGGAATTGGACTCGTCCTATCCCTTCTTTCTACTCTCTACCTCTTACATTGGAGGGTCTTGGATCATTGGTTCTTGCATCCAAAGACTCCTAACTCTTACTGCATTCGGATGTCCTGGCCCCTTGCATTCCTCGCCTATCCCCCTTGCATCACACTACTCCGATGTCAGTGTTAACTCATAGTTGTTATTGTTTACAATTCCCGCGTTCATTGGCCCCTGAATGACTTTATTTAGCTTCGCTATACCGTCGCGACGGGCTCAGCAGAGTATCTTTCCTCCAACAACCGGCCCGACATAGGCCACCGACACACCATGTTCCATTCAAGGGCTTTCCTTCTCTCCTGGCTCGTGGGCTTTACCGCGGCCAAGGATATCCATCTCGATTGGAACATCACCTGGGTGTGGGCAGCGCCCGACGGCTTTGGCCGCCCCATGATCGGGATTAACGACGAGTGGCCATGTCCGATTGTCAATGCCGACCTGGGCGATCGACTCATTGTCGATGTGCACAATGGTCTGGGGAATCAGTCGACAGGAATCCATTGGCATGGCTTCTATCAATATATGACAGGAACGATGGATGGCTCGAACCAGGTGACGCAGTGTGCCTTGCCTCCGGGGAGCAGCATGCGCTATGAATTCAATGTAAGTTCTCGACTCGCCATGAAGATTATACTGTTTATACTCACGGCACAGGTCAATCAAACCGGTACTTACTGGTATCACTCGCACGAAATGGGCCAGTATCCCGACGGACTCCGCGGCCCGTTCATCGTCCGGGATCCGTCGCCTCCATTTGCGTACGACGACGAGTTCACGCTGACACTGACCGACCATTACCACGAGCAAATGCCCGTTCTTCTGCAGCAGTACGAGGCCGACAGCGTAGGCGCCCAGCCCGGCGTCAACGAACCCTTGCCAGCGGCAGCCCTGATCAACGAGGGGATCGACTTCACGAAACTCCGTGTGGAGCCCAACAAGACGTATCTGATCCATCTGATTTGCGTGGGCAATTGGCCCGGCCACGTTATTGTCTTTGATGGCCACGAGATCAGTGTAGTTGAGGTGGACGGCGTCTGGGTGGACACCTATCCGGTTGGAGACAAGAAGATTCGGCTGGCCACGGGCCAACGCATGAGCATTCTTCTCAAGACCAAGGACAACGCCGACGCCAACTATGCCATCTGGGACTCGATGGACGTTAACATGATGTTCTTCTACGAGAATCGAGCTATCCCCGAGGGTTTCAACCCCAATGCGACGGCATGGCTAGTCTACGACGAAGCAAAGGAGCTTCCTCCCCCGCCCGACGTCCACGAACTCGACCCGAACAACGACTTTGTCGACGATCTCGTCTTTGTGCCTGCGAACCACGAGCCCCTCCTCGAGAAAGTCGACCGCCAGATCATCTTCAATACCGGTGTGACTGAGAGCAACGGCCGCAGCGTGTTCACTATCAATGGCCAGACATATGTGGACCCGGAGGAACCCACAATGTACACGGCGCTGGCGGCAAGCCCAGAGAACTCTACCGATGAGTCGATATACGGACAGGTAAATCCCTTCGTGGTCCAGTACGGCGAGGTCGTGGAGATCATCATCAACAACCATCACGGCAACCTGCACCCCTGGCACTTGCACGGCCATCAGTTTCAGGTCCTGCAGCGCACGACCCCGGAGGGTGGGTACTTTAACGGCTACTTTGCAAACATTTCTTCCACTCCGGTGAAACGGGATACCATCATGGTGCAGAACCATGGACACGCGGTGCTTCGATTCCGCGCAGATAACCCAGATGAGTTTTTGTTACTCCAGTGAAGATAGAGATGCATACTGACCTGTACTACGAGTTTGGCTCATCCACTGTCATATCGAGTGGCATGTCACCAAGGGGTTGACGGGCACCATCATCGAAGCCCCGGCGCAGCTGCACGATATCTCAGTACCGTTGGACCATCAGAGAATCTGTCCCAGCTACGGCACGCCACCGGGTGGTGGCACTCCTCCAAATGATGCACCTCCTGCAGAGAATGCCACCCCGCCCTCGTCTGCTCATCCTCAGGATACTCCTCAACCTGGGGGTTCAGCGGGCTCACCTCCTCCCCAGGATACTCCCCAACCTGGCGGTTCACAAGGCTCAGCTCCTGCTCAGTATAGTCCTCAACCTGAGGGTTCTCCAGACTCACCTCCAGCTCAGTATACTCCCCAGCCTTGGGGCAACCAAGGCCCATCTGCCCCTGCTCAGTATACTCCCCAGCCGGGGAGTCCACCCAGCAACACCGCGCCACCAGCCAGCAACTATCCCCCAGCCTATGCACAGGGCTATCCCGCTGGCTACGTTCCTGTTGCGCCTGGCCCCGTCATCATCGACTCGGAATACCATTACGGCGGCAAGTCTAGTCATGTTGGATCATCTGGTGTGAATACTTGCCATGATGGGGATGCCGTCATGGCAGACAGTGAGGACGGCGCGAGCGCCTCATAGTTCTTTTCTTGTTTATAGCTTCACTTAATTATTTTAATATCATTCTCTGGTAAATATGCCAATAGCTGTTCTAGTGTGCCTGTCGTAACTCTCATCTATATGGCTGAACCATCTATGGCCAAGTAGGTGTATACAAGGGAGAATAGGACTTGTCCGTGTTGAAGTATTCTGGATGAATGCGATGGCATAGTAAACGTTTCAAACTAGCTTCTATGAACCAGACTGAATGGATACGGAGGCGCGTCGATATAGTCAATTCCTCTCAAGACAAGGCACATAGCAGATAGATGTCTGGTCTGTAGACCCAGATTGCAGCTACAGAAGTCACCATTGAATACATTGTATTCCCTATGCTAGACGCATGTTCATCAATTTTATGTTGAATGCTAAAATGATATAGCCCGGAATTTTAGAGACAACAGACTCTTCGATCAGTTCTTCGTCTTCGAAGGCGAAGCCAGAACCTGCTCCAACCACTCGTAGGAATCAGGAAGACTATTAGGATATCCCATGTGCGGAAGACCCTTGTAGAATCTGCAAAAGTCAGTATACTCCGTTTTCTCGAAGGCAATGAAGATGACATACCGTCCCTCCTTGGGTGAGCCGTGCTCAAACAGCACCAGACAATCCTCAATCGGCACAACGCCATCATCGACACCATTCAACAGCAGCAGCCGACAGCTGGGCTGATCGACGATGCCCGTCTCAACAAGCGAGAACTTTTTCTGCGCGCCGGCTACGAACTCCTCGACGGTCTTGTACCCGTGCTTGGTCGCCCATGGCGCGGTTAACCTATCTCGTCAGCCTTTTCCCTCTTTCTTATAAGGAGATTGACGTACTCGAATGGATACTCGTGGTCGTTGACCTTGGCCAACCACTCAGGATCAAGGTAGTAGTGACAGCCTGGACCATGCGCAATAGCCCCAAGCAGCCGGTCGCGGTGCGTATGCGCCGCCCGGATGGCATAGTATCCACCAGCACTCAGTCCCCAGACCACCATCTTGGCGGTGTCCAGCTCCGGCCGCTGGTCGAGGTAGCTCAGCACGCTATCCCACAGGCGATCAGGCGAGGCCGGATCCGCCGGGTCCGCAGGGGAGTCCGCCGTGCCGGGGATCTCAGCGATAACGGCCGCCCAGCCGCGCGCGAGGATCTCATGCGTGCGCTGGCTGTTATCCGGCCGGTAGCCGTCCAGTCCTGTCATGATCAGCACGACGGGGACGGGGTTGGACTGGTCTGCGCCGGCGGGGGTGCGGATGTAGATGGGGATGCGGGCGCCGTCGTTGCCGGCGCGGTAGGTGTGTGGGACCGTCACCTCGCGAATGGGCTGGGTCCAGAGCGAGGTGGCCTTCAGGTACGCCTGTTTCTGGAGCTCGAAGGCAAGACGCTTGATGGAGTCGGGCTTGGTGATGTCCACGTAGGGGAAGCGGGAGATGCGGTAGACTACCGCGGCGCGGCAGAGGAGGTTCGAGGCCTCCTCTTTGTTGCCGGCTCGGAGGGCCTGGGCGGCTTTTTCCTCGAGCGCGGATGCCGTGGGGAGGAAGGCCTGGGTGTATTCATCGCAGGCGGCGTCGTTGATGTTTTTCTGTCAGGTTAGCCTGTTTGCTGTGATACAGAGAGGACAGAAGTACCGAGATGAGCTGGTTGAAGATGGGCTCAAAGTCCTCGATGGAGCCGTCGTGGAAGGGATAGACGCGTTTCTGACACTAACAACTATCAGCTATATTCTAAGTTTCTAGGGGCAAAACATACGGCAAACTTCCATCTCGACTCCCACAGGACCTTCAACGAGCCCTTGTGGGGGAAGACGGTATCGAACTTGTCTCCGAGGATCCAGCGTGGCATTTTGACTACTTCAGTGGCTTAGCTTCAGACACAGACTGAGTCACAGACTGATTTCTAAGCACCTGTCCTCTACTTATGACACGTTTACTAAACACCGCAGATGCATCCAGCCATACAGATTTCCCATTTGGGTAATAGTCGATGCGTGCTGGTGACAGGGCACGGATGCAGCAACTGTCACCGACTGAACTCGACGTGTCTAATTATAGATCAAATTCCAATGCTGCATAATGTCTCGGTCTGGAATTATGCGCTGAATGCATTGCACAGTGGAATTGAGTGTCTTATCCAAAAATGGATAGGTTACATTCGCCGAGTCCATGACATAAGGACTCTGCAATGTTTGACTCATACATGATGCTCTGAAAAGTCAATTTGCAGCATGCAGCATGTCATGGCAATTTCGTTATGCTCTACAGCATTGCTGTATTCATTTCTGGAACTCATGTCTGGTTGTAGAAGAGTCGGCCTCTCTGAACGTAACCCAACACCGCGATGATCAGCCCATATATAAAGTCAATTGGCAATTTGCCACACGCAACGACACGTAGACACATCACTGGATGATGAAGAAGAAGGATTAGGTTCAAGGAAGCGTATTTAGCTAGTTGTCCTGACTTAGCAAGAGTGATTATACTTTAGGTACAGTAGTACAAACGAAAGTAAACTTAGTATGCGATGACTCTGCGAGACAATTTCAAATACTCGATGCAACCATACAACAGTCTAACGATCAGACATTTGCCCCTCCATTGACAGGGATGATCTGGCCTATTCGTTCGAATCACGAGATGATCAGCATTCCAATCCCCACCATGACCCTTGCTTCGGGAAAGAAGGAAAGAGACAACTCACCGTTCACCCATTCCGCATCCGGACTCGCCAGGAATGAAACCACCTTGCCAATGTCCTCGGGCACACCGCACCGCTTCAACGGGCTCCCGCTCGCCAGCGCCGTTTCGATCGCCTCCAGCGAGGAGCCCTTGTCGCACCCGGGCGCATACCGCCATGCGTTCTCCCGCCACATGTCGCTCTTGACCCCCGCCGGCGCAATCGCATTGACCGTGCACCCCTTGCGCCCAAAATCGGCCGCCAAGCACCGCGTGAACCCCTCGATTGCGGCCTTGCTGCCGGCATACAGCGCGTGGCCCGGCACCCCCAGTCCCGCCGCAATGGACGACATGAGGATCACCCGGCCGCCCGGCTGGATGTGCTCGTAGGCGTAGCGGGCGACGAACATCTGCGCCCGAGTGTTTAGATCAAACACCTCGTGGAAGTCCTCGAGCGTCGTCTCCTCCAGGGGCTTGAACTTCTCTACCCCGGAGTTGGACACAACGATGTCCAGCCGGCCAAAGTGGCTGGCCACCTGCTTGATGAGCGACTCGATGTTGGGCACGCAGGTCAAGTCCGCCTTGATGGCCACTGCCTGGCTGCCGAGTGCCTGGATGGCTTCGACGACCTCTTGAGCCGACTTGGCGCTGTGCCCGTAGTTGATGGCCACGGAGGCACCGCGACGGGCCAGTTCGAGGGCAATGCCGGCCCCGATGCCTCGGCCGCCGCCGGTCACTAGGGCGACCTTGCCGCTGAGAGGAAGATATGCTCCTGTATTCACCATTTTGAAGATTCAATGGGGTGCGTGTAGAGGGTGTTTGTTTAGTGCGTTTGTTTAGGTGTGTACATGGTCATTATAGGTTGCGATCTTCTTTATATGCAGACTGCTTCTATCTGTAAAGAGTGCCCAATTACGATTGATAAGCCAATAAGCCTTACCGAATTCGCACTTCATTGTTTCAACTGCAAGGAATGTGTGCAGTGAGATTGTCTAAGACAGGAATGTTACTGCTTGCGAATTTCCGCTCCCAGCTAATATGCTTTAGGATAGACAGAACGACATCCGAGACACATGGCTCTGTTTGCGACGGTCTTCTCCTTGCATGATGCTGCCCGCGTACTGATCTAATATTTATGATTGCTCATCGGCCAGACTGAGACCTAGAATTCGAGTCCTCAATATTCAGATCTGAAAATACCAGTTGTCGATCAAACAGACATACATACCCTCCCTCACATCACAATGGTCCAAAAGAAGCCCAATCTGAACATCGAATTCCAAGGTATGATGCACCGATGACAGACTGTTTGACCTTGACTAACCGGCCAGACTATCTCGCCCTAAAAAAAGTTCTCTTTGACTGGGCAGACAGCTATGACGCCAAGGTAAGTTCACGTCCAGCGATCTGGAGAATGACATTCACCAATGGTAGGATTGGGATCGACTTCGAAGCATCATCGCCCCCACGCTCACCGTCGACTACACGCAGATCGGTCTGCGGAAATGGAGCGACATGGCTGCTGAAGACTACATGGCCATGATCACCGACATTGACTTCTTGGGTGACCCCACCATCAAGACCCAGCATCTGCTGGGCGAATCCTGGTGGGAGAAGATCTCCGATACAGAGGTCATTGGCCACCATCAGCTGCGCGCTGCCCACCAGGTCTACACGGACAGCAGCTTGCAAACCGTCAAGCTCAAGGGGCATGGCCATGCCACCAATGAGCACTACTACCGCAAGATCGACGGCGTGTGGAAGTTTGCCGGCCTGAAACCTACCGTGCGGTGGAATGAGTATCAGTTCGAGGATGTTTTCCGTGCGACGAAGTGATCAGTCTGAGTATAAATACGGTTAGCATAAGTACAATTTCATATGAGCCAAAGATTGTCATTCGGAACTTCCTCATAACGACGAAACTTTAGTTCCAGAATGTGCGGGAATATCACAAAGTCTCTCATCTTGCGGCATTTGGGATATAGTTCAACCAACGTAGTTTGAGCTTGGGATAAGGTCTGACCCCGAGAGTCTGTAGTGCCCTCAATGCAACATGCAACCCTACATCTGGGACCGCAATTACAGGACGATGAGAGTAACCTGAATTCTTGGCACTGGTTTGAGTAAGCAATTGATCTTGGTGATGGCCTGATTTGGGCCGGTTCGCATTGTAATGGGCAAACCGTGCAGGACGGAGTGATTTCGACGTCTTTGATTGACGTAATTCCTGATCAGAGTGATCTGAGCAGACAAGAAGGATGAGCGGGTTATTGCCAGATGCGGACATTCTTGGGGGCTGGAATGCCCGGATCTCCCTAGCGCTCCGCC